TAATTATTCCTGTTTAAGAGAGCCTAAAAAATTAAGTAATTTCCCCAAGGTCCTTGAAATTTTTAAGGACTTTATTATTATCGTGTTACTCATGAACCATTTGGACAAGAATCTATCCCATTATCTTATTATCTTGTATCATATTTCTTTCCTGAATTATATTTGTTTGGAAAGGATCATATAACTCTATGGGAAAAAAGTTTATGTCTGTCATATTTATGGTACTATAAATAATCTATTTAATGCATGAGACAGAATGAGAAGATAGGAACCAGAAGGAACAAGTCAATAGGATCAAATGTGAGAACCGACAGCTTTAAGAAGAGGGGAAATAACTCTGGGAGGGTCAAAGATAAGAAACAAACTAAAAGTCTGAGAGTAGGTGTTAAAGGCTTGGACTTGGTCAAGAAAAGGTAGATTGGGGTACCTGGGTGTCTTAGTGGGTTAAGCATCTGCCTTAGGCTCAGGCCCTGTGGGATCAACCCCTCACATCGTTCTCGCCTGCTTCCCCCTCTCTCTCTGCCTGCCTCTCTGCCTACTTGTGATCTCTCTGTCAAATAAATAAATAAAATCTTAAAAAAAAAAAAAAAAAAAGGAAAGAAAGAAAGAAAGAAAAGGTAGATCTAAGAGCTGGAAAGTGGAAATGAATCAGTGTTAAGGCGGTAGAGGCAGCCTACCTCTGACTGGGTTCAGAGACAGGCTCATGGAATTGAAAAGGGACCAAAAAATCTCTGAGGGAACTTCAACATTCTATAGTCTATGGTTTTATATTGTCTTACATACCAGTGTTCTCCTTCCTGCTGCTCGGTGGGTCTTGAGTCAGCAGATGAATACAAGTTGTGTGTGTGACTACAGCTCGGGGACCTGAAGTTGCAAATGAGATCTGTTCCTTGTTTGCCACCAGCAATCAATTTCCTGGATCCCATGCTAAACTGCAGTGTCACTGGAGCTTCCAGGCTGGGATTTCATTTTCCTTGTGGACTTCGGAATTTTTGCTGATTCTATATTCCATTTCTCCCACTTTGGCTCCAAATAAACAGAAAATAAGAGGAAAGAACTACCTAAATAAATCACTGTTGAGAATTACATAGCAAGGAGAAGCAAACCACCATCTGTGGTTACCAGAGTCTTCTATGAGACTACAGAAAGGTAATTCTTACCACTGTTTCCCACAAAGAGAGAAATTAACTTCCTCGTGTAAGTAGAGAATTATATGCATTGTATTACTAGAGACTTACGTGTATTACATATACTGGACATTTCTTCTCTCTAGACCTCTTCCCTTTCAGACTGAAGGAAAATCTGTTAATGCCAGAGCTCTCCTTTCCTCCTATTCCAGGAAATGTCTGACTTCCAGTCTGATATTAAATTCCTCTTTGAACATGAATTAATGTGCCCTATTTCCAAATCAGGGTACCAGAAATGGGTAGAAATAGATGCTGTGTGTGAACAGACAATGTCTAGCATAGTATCCTCCCAGGCACAGTAATTGATTTAGGGATTGGCCTTGTTAGCTAATCAGAGACAATAAGAAGTATTCTCAATATTTTTCTGGTACTTGAAAAGGGACTTGAAACTGTATGGATACAAATCTGGAGGTACATAAAAACAAATCCTGAGTTTGTTTAATCATAAAAATAACAAACATCATCCATTAATAAATAGCTCACATTTATTAAGCAGCTACTATATGCCAGACTGTGGGCTCCACTTTCTAAATGGATTATATTATATAATACCTCATAAAATAGTCATAGGAACACTATGCAATAGGTAATGCTATCATGCCCATTTTTGGTAAATGGAGAGATGTGTCACTAAGATCTTCTTTCAAGAGAGGGCTTACTGACCTAACTGCTAGAACACTGTAAGCAGACAGTTTTTAGCCACCAGATGCAGACTATCTAAATCTTCCTTGCCCAGTCATGCCCTTCCCAGATAGCTCATATCCAGGGACCAATCAGGTCGGGGCTATCTTGGCTTAATACAGGACAATTCTAATGGTTCATTTTATCTTTGGAGCTCTCTGTGGGATGTGCCAAGACTGAGATCAGCCCTGCTTCTCACCCATACTTCCTTACCTTCTCTTCCATAGGTGTTGATCTCATGGACATAACATTCTGAGAAACATCCCTAAAAATATCCAGCACATTAGTCCATTTCAGAGTCTGCTTCCCAAAGAGCCCATTTGCAAACACCATTTTACAGATGAGATGATAAAGCAGGAATCCCCCACCTACACCATCGCTCAGCATGAACGCTGGGGGATCAAGAGTCCTTAAAAAGATAAATCTTGCTTAAGACACCAAAGCTGATCTGGAATTTAGAACAGGACTCTGGGAGGTATCTCTAGGGGAAAAGGCTGGGAAGGCCCTGTTGGGAGAGCCATGGAAGCCTGTGGAAGCTGGGCTGGAGTCCAACCTCTATGGAGGACAAACAGGTGTGCTTAGTGTCCAGCGCGACTACAGGAAATGACACACAGTTGCAGTAGCATACAAAAGAAGGAACTTTATTTCATTCTCTCCAACTCATAGCCTCTTTGCTAAGAGTGTCAGTTAAAATAAAAACAAAAACCTAAAACAAGAATCTGGGTATTTTAGCACATGGTTAACTACAGAAAAAGCATCTTACAAATCTAAGTCCTTTATTTTGGACTTCAATGTTTATGTTGCCCAGATTTCATGTTAATCCAAATTATTTCCAGTAAGAGGTACAGGAAGACTAATTTATGCAATTGTTTGTAATCATCACCTCCTGTGGTCTTTTGAAATATTATATTTGAGGCTATTATGACTTTCTTAAATTGTATTTTAATGAATTCCTTGGGGGGACACTGTGATTAAAAGGCATGATACCTACTAAATGATGAACTAATAAAACATTCTATAAGAAAGAATTTATCAAATGAGCCTTTAGATTGGACTCATTTATCAAGCCACAGAACAAAAACTAAAATGCATAATTTTGAAATGCTTATAAGCACTTATAATTTAAGATTAGTAGAGATAGTGAACGGAATTCCAAAGTAAGGAAGGAAAGTAACTGTAGGAAATGTGCAGGAGATGAAAGTCTATCAAAGAAAGAGAAGAAATAATTGAATAATTGGAGGTTGAAAGTGCTAAAGATCAGCAGGAAAATCCCTCAGAATTAAAACCATCTGAAAAAAAGTAAAATAAAAAAATAAAAATAAAAATAAAACCATCTGAAACTCCCTTCTTAGCAAAAGCACTTAATTTCTTACACCTGGATATATTTATCAAACATGTATCTCCATAGGAGTGCCTGGGTGGCTCAGCCGGTTGAGCATCAGACTCTTGATTTCGGCTCGTGTCATGACCTTGGGGTCATAGGATCAAGTCCTGTGACAGGCTCCATGCTCTGCAGAGTTTCTGTCTCTCTCCCTCTGTTCCTTGCCCCTGCTCTCTCTTGATCAAATAAATAAATAAATAATCTTAAAAAAAAAGAGAGAGAATGTGTCTCCACAAATGGAGGGTTGTTGGAGGGTAGGTGTGTGGGGGATGGGCTAAATGGGTGATGGGTGTTGGGGAGGGCCCTTGTGATAAGTTACATGTAACTGGGTGTTATATATAAGTAATGAATCACTAAGTCCTACTCCCAAGTCAATACTATGCTACATGTTACCAATCTAGAATTTAAATTAAAACTTGAACAGCAACAAAAAAAAAAATGTATTTCTAAACAAAATAAAACAAACAGCAACAAAAGGAATGTTTCTCAAAATTTACCATCAAAATCCAAGAAGGAAAGACAGTAGCTCTTTCTGGATATCCCCTCAATAAGAAACATGGATGGAATCAATCTAGTCCATTGAAAGCAGAGCTTTAGAACAGAATAAGTCTTAAATTTCTTTCTTGATACTCTTTGAATCAAATGTTCCTTTATAGTTAAAATAAGTTATTTAGAAATTATATTCCTTTCTCTGCACTTTAAAGATGCTTTTAGTGTTGGTTTTGTGGGTGAGGGGAGAGGTGGGTGGAGAAATGAGATGAAGAGAAACGGTCGCCCATAGCAGGCTAAAGGCTTCAATATCCAACAAGCAACAGACTTTAGACAAAGCAAGACAAGACAGAGACCAGAAACCACCACCCAGCACCCAGGCTGACAGGTGTCAGCCTGTTCGAAGCTGGGTCAGATCTACACGTGGGTGAGGGAGCTAGATTGGGTTGTAAATTGCCACAATCAATAGTGAAGAAAAACAAGATTATACACAGCACATGACACTCAGTTGGGATATTTCAGTTTGTCAGCTCTGCTAGCCCCCGTTACAGACTGATGTGTTGGGGAGACTCCAACCTCGTCCGTATAAAAGAGTCGATCAATCCTAGAACCCACCATCTTGGTCAGCTTTGGAGTACTGACCTACCTAGAGGCGGGAGAAGCTAAGGCTTAGAAGCCCCCCTTGGTACCCACCCAACACTCCCCCACCCTGAGGTCTTGGCTTCATCGGAAATCATAAAATAGACTTTTAAGTGAAATTCCAGACATGCTGAACACAGTGTAGCCTAACAGGGCTCTTGGAAGCTCAGAGAAGCTGCAACATGTGGCTGGGAAGGACAGCTTGCCTGATTTCCAGATGCCACCGAGACTCCTCTCAGTTAACACCAGTGACAATCATGGCCTGAGATCTCTCAGGAGTAAATGAATTCAGTTAAACCTATTGCTCTTGTCTCTGGCTTTGGTCAGACCGCACCCCCCCCCGCCGCCTTGTCATGCTAGTATGATCTGCCTCATTCAACACAAGCTCTTGCCCATGTGCAACCCACAGCACTCTAGCCAGTTTCAAATTAAGAGAGAAAAGGGGGTTATTATTCTCTCTGGACTTACCTACTTAGTCTGAGGTCTTGTAAGAAATAAATCTTGAGATATCCTTCTGTTGGTAGAAATGTATCTAGTCAAAACTAGGCGTATCCAGAGCATCTCCCCGGATAAAGAGAATGCTATTTAGGCAACTAGAGTCAGTGTGAGCTGTTCCTTTAATGCTGGAGGGCTGTTTCCACCGAAATCCTGCTTCTTTCATACTTGCTTGGGGATTCCTCAGGGACCGTGAAGTCCCACTCTAACACAATGACTAGATCTGGGAAGCACTACGGAACATAAAAATCACATATTAACCATCCTACTAAGGAAGTAAGGGCAAGTGAGATCACAACCTCTCAGGGAAAATCAGCAACAAATACAGGCTCACAGGCTGTTTGCCCGGTTGGCATGGGTGATTTGTGTATAGTCGTCGATGCAAATTAAGGCAAACACCTCTCCACACCGAAGTCATTTTTAGAAAGCAGACAGCATTCTTGAAGGGCTGAATTGCTGTGTAACTACAATGCATAAATGTAGAATACAATGATCTTGGAAATAAGAGGTCTCAACCAACCCTTTCTCTGGAATAGGGTCATCTTGGAGATAGAAATTCTGTGTCTTATGAGAGGAAAACCACTTTATAAAGTGGCAAAAGAAGAGCCAGATACAAAACTGTTGTTAAAATATTACTAGTCAGTGGTACTCGTTGCTCTTAAAATTTGTCAATCGATTTATTCTCAGAGAAAAGATGGCATAAAAGAGTGGAGCTTACAGAGATAGAAGCAAGTTGTGGAAAAGCTTTGGAAACGTGGAAATACTGTTTGCAATGACCATAAGAAAAAGAGGGTGTGCAGAGGGGAGCTATGTGAGGTGATCTCTGGAATAACAATACAAAGCAAGCTAAAAATCAAGGGACAGGATCGAGTAAACAATTACCCAAATCCTGACAAAATTAACTTGAAAGGCAAGCTGGGTTATGCATGAAAAAGGTCAGTGTCCCTTTCTTTGTTTCCAGTGCCCCCGAGAAACATCGGGGTGGGGTGGGATAGAGCAGCGGCGGCGCCCCCAGCTGCTGTGGACAGCACGGACTGAACCAAGCAGCGGGCTGGGCTTCCTCGGGATCCACGGAATACTGACCCCCCCACACACACACACACACCGCGGGACGCGGCCCCTCACCCGCCACCCCGCCCCAGGGGCTCGCGGCGCCCCCTCCTGGGCACGCGCACACTGCGCGCTCCAGCTCCTGAACCCAGGCTGACTCGGTAATTTCAGCCCAAGGGAGACAGAGGCAAGACCCTCTTTCTGGTGCTTTCACGACACCTGAAAGATGGAGCCCCCCCAAGCAGCAGACACAAAGTGATCCCAGAGCTTCGGCTCTTTGCTGCTGTCCAGGCTCTTCACCGGGAATAACTTACTTAGTGGCAGAGGAGGAAAGGTGGGAACGGAGGCTAACCCCAAAGTCCCCTAGCGTGGAGCGCCCCCACGTCTCCAGCTTCATTTTGGAGGGGTGGGGTTTGGTTCCGTCGCCTCCGCTTCCGCGCGGGTTTGGGAAGGGGCCCGTGCAGTGTCCCCGACCTCCGCCCCAACCCGGGGAGGGGTAAGCGCGGTGGGTGGGCGTCTCCTGACCTCGCGCTCCTCCCCTCCGCGTCCCTGCCCCCTGCCTCTCCGGAACACACTGTGTGGCCGCTTTCCTCCAGCACGCGGCGCTGCGCTCGCTTTTATCCGCGGAGCCGCGCGGGTTCGTGCGCGGCCAGCGGGGCTCAGCCCGTCCGCTGGAATTGAGGAGCATTCATTGAATCTGCGGCTTTCATGACGTCTCTCTGCGTGGCCCATCACTTTTCTCCCAGCCGGGATTTTTTTTTTTTTTTTTTTTCGCCACTCTTGCTTTTTTTCCCCTTCCCTCCACCGGTCTGCCGCCCGCGTCTCTGCCCGACGCACACCCCTCCGCCCCTCCTGTGACCCCGCGCCCAGCCCTCCTCTCCGCTCGCGGCCAGAGGGAGCCAGTTTGCAGACGGCCGCACCTGGCCGGAGAGGTTGGGCGGGTGGAGGGGTGGGGATCCGCGGGAACCGGGAAGCCAGACCCAGAGCTGGGTGCACCGCTAGGAGAATGGAGACTCCTAACAGCCTCCGGGGGCTGATGTGAAATTTGACCATCTGATTCCAGCTTGTCTTTCCTTTTCTTTTTTTTATTTTCTCCCCTCACCATCCATCGTGTACTCAATTATCAAATCTTGCTCCGTTCCAAGAGGAGATCATGATTGAGTGAAACCACCCTGTCCGCAGCAAGGTAAGCGGTGCGCTGAGTTGCTCGAAGGCGAGAAGCTGGCACAATCTGGGCAAAACGTTCCGTGCCCTCGGGTCTCCACCTCCCCCTCCCCAGTCTCCGTCGCTGCATGCTCCACGCTGATGAGAAACATGATGCCCAAGTCAAGGGAAAGGCGAGGGAGAAGCCGGTTACATAACAGAAGGGAAATCTGTTTCATAGGGTTTTCATTAGCAACTGAAAACTCGCAAGGGGGGCGGGGAGTGGAGGGGGTCTGCATGCCCCGGGCACAGAGAAACCCAGGCAGTCATTGCAGACATCATTTCAACATACGTTGGCAAAGAAGAAATGCACTGATTAACTGGTAGGGGCGGCTTGCGGTGTAGTCATTTACAGTTGGGAAAAGCCCATTGTCTATGGAAAGCTGTATCCTTGTTCTTTGCATAGAGGAGAGAGACGGAGACGGAGACAGAGAACATGAGAAGGAGGAAAAGGAAAAGTGAGGGGTGGGGAGAAACCGGCAGAAAATGGGAAACAATAACTTCTAACTGTTGTCTATCAGTAAAACCAAGGATGTGATATGATGGCTACAAACAGTGAATAGGAAGCTCTCCCTAGAAGTAAACTGAATTGTTTTGTAACTGGAAGGGGAAAGAAACCCTCAGATAAAATGAGATGTTTATGGCATTTAGGGGGTTAGACTAATCTGCTGACTTGCTTCCTCCTGGGTATATTTTCATTTGCATGAAGACATTAAGCCTGAATTAGTTTTTTAACAGAAATAACATTAGTATTCCCCAAACCCAATAAAACCTTGGGTCAATCCACAGGTATATCTCTTGTACCAACCTCAATATGGAGAGATGCTTAAGGAAGAAACATGGTAATAGGAACAGCCACAGATAGGGGTGAGGTTGATGGAGAAACAAAATACCAGAATTTTCCAAAGAATCCTGCCTCCACTCCCAAAAAAGGAAGAGAGAGAGAAAGGGGGGGGGGGAACTCCTGTGTTTAGGAGTTGGAAATTCATTATATGTTTAGAGTGTCTCCTGCTTGCTTTTATCCAAAGTCTGATGGTTCGGGGGAGCCCCCACCATATAGGTTGTAATATCACATCCCTGCTAGCTCCCCACCCTGCCTACCTTTCTTTTGCTGAAAAACAGAGGAGTGGGATACCCAGGAGCTGATTAGAAAGGCTGTAGTCAGGGCATAGCTAACTAAGCTTCGCCCATTTTGCCTGGAGAAAGAAAGAGCTGAGTCTCCATGGCGACCCAGGTGGGAGGGGAGAAGGCAGCTCCAATTACAACAAAAAACATTGGACAAAACTTTCCCAGCTTCAGGCAAAGGAATAAGCCAGTCAGGTATTCTGTGGAGGGTCCCAGGGTATCAGCAGTGCCCAAGTTCCTGCCCGCCACCCGCAAGGGGGCTTCGAGAACTGGCCGGAACTCTCAAACCTCCCAAAGTTGTCCAGAGGCCACAGAGATGGTTCAGGCAGCAGGTTTCAGATTCAGCACCAAGGCCAGAGCACAAGGGCCAGGTTCCCACCTCCCAGTTGACTACCCCTGCAAATGTTACTAGCTCCTTTGGTGACAGAAGCGATCACTTTCTGTAAATGAACGGTTCTCTTGCCCGTGCAGAATCTGGATATCTGATTATCCACGGAATTGCGTGGGACAGAGAAGCTTGCAAATCATCCATTTCACGCATGGCGGTGCATCAGAGTAACTATTCAAAACCAAGAACACTGAAGCAGCAAAAGATCCAAGTTGAACTGAGAATGGAGAATGATCCTGTCCTCAGGGAAGCAAAGGGGTGCGGTGCACCCACGCACGCATGTACACACACACACACACACACACCAGACCAGTCTCTAATGAGAGTTGTCTAGTTTCAGCCAAGTCCCTTTGGTTTCAAAAGCATCCATTCATTTCTTACCCTCTCACTGTCCTCTGTACTTTTTGTCGGGCTTAGATGACAGAAAGACTGTAGGAGCACCCTGTCAGTGAGACAGCAGTTAACCAAATCCTTTCGAGGGGTCCTGAGATCCTGGAGGGCAGAGAAATAAAATACTCTTAGTCCCGACCTGACAGAGTTTCTAAAAAAGCTGATGAGCTCCAGGAAAGGGAAGAGAGTATGCTAGTGAGGTGGGAAGCAGTAACTGTATCTTTAAGGCAGCATGTGAGTAGGGCAGCTACATTTCCAAGGTTGTAGGGCATAGGAAACTGGGAGACGAGACGGAGTCACTTCTCTTAATAGAAACAAGGAAGAAACTGTGCAAGAGGGAGGATTTATTTTAACTCAAGTTCCGTTTCAGCATTCATTGAGAGAAAACAGGTAAGTCTCTCTCGCCATTCTGCCTTCACCTGGGGCAAAGCTGGTCTCTGTCCTGCTGTCCTCATCTTTGGTCTTAAATCCTCAGACCCCCCAATACAGATGAGGAAAAATAGTGGAGGAAGGTGCAGTCACATTTCTAATAGACTGTTTTTGTGAATAGCATCCAGGTGTTACAAGGTACGGTTTGACTTGCAGAGCCCAGTCAAAGTTTGACAGCTGGTTGCCTTTACAATACACTGGGTTGCTTTTCTCTTTTGAAGATGCCCTTGTGTGTGTGTGTGTGTGTGTGTGTGTGTGTTTAGTCTTGAGCTGGTTCTGCTTTGTTCTCTCCAAACGAGAGCAATCCTGGTTTTCTTGGTTGGCTTTTGCAACTGTGGCTGTGCCATTGCTTTCTAAAGGTGATGTGTGCAGAGCACTCAGGACTTGGTTAAAGCAGTGTGCTTATACCTTCCAGTTTTTGGTTTTTGTCGTTTGTTTTTCATGATCTCTATTGAAGGCAGAAGCAATCTATTCCAAACCTGGTTAAAAGACGAGATGTTACACTATTTCTTCCATTTCAGTTCCTGATGGATATTGATAAGTTTATCCGTGATGTAATTTATTAAAAGAGTTGCTATCTAAAGTAGAGAGAAATGGTGCGTGGAGTACTGTTAGGACTTGAAGCAACTATACCTTGGCTTTTCTCCATCTCATATTATCAGCAGAAGAGAAGTAGAGATTAGTTATGAAGATAAAGCCATATAAGAATATAGGTCATTCCATAAAAAGATCATTTATCATGTATTTGTGAGTTCTTTTTTTTTTTTAAAGATTTTATTTATTTATTTGACAGACAGAGATCACAAGTAGGCAGAGAGGCAGGCAGAGAGAGAGGAAGGGAAGCAGGATCCCTGCTGAGCAGAGAGCCTGATGCGGGACTCGATCCCAGGACCCTGAGATCATGACCTGAGCCGAAGGCAGCGGCTTAACTCACTGAGCCACCCAGGTGCCCTATTTGTGAGTTCTAAAGCTCAATTTCTCTCACGAATTAAAAAAAAAAAAGATGGGAATATAAATGATCTAGGTATAGAAAATTGTTTAATCAATTATCTTCAGTTCTGGTAGATTCTATGTTCATATATTCGGTGCTAATTTTTCAAATTAGGACTTGCTTTCTTCTTCTTCTTGGGGGGCTAATTGCTAAGCAAAGCATCATTATGTCCTAATGGCAGTCAATGGCATGCTCCAAAATAATTAGTCTACCCATTTCAAGTAAGATTTGTTAAGGAGACTTAAAATTAATCCCTGTGCACTGGGAACATTTTTATAATATTTTAAAAATAATTTTGACACCTAACCCTGGTATTTCCTAAGCATCGGTAAGTAAGGTATATTAACTTTTATGAGCCAGGTCTTTATTTAATACATAGGACTTTTATAGGCTCTTTCCTTTGAGTATAAAGAAATGTTTTAATTCACTCTCAAATTTCCCCCCATCTTACAAACTATATCTGCTTTACAGAATAAAAGAAAATAAGACATCAGAAGAGCTGTTTAATAAGCAATAGAAAAAAATTTATTGGCAATTAAAAATAAATAATATGCTCTTATTGAAGCATAACCCCATTCACTGATTTTCATAAGTAGAAAGTGCTGCTTTTTTCAAAGGTTGAATCTTGGTTATATGAATCTTCACGGAAATAAGATAAAGCCTCCTTATCAATATGGGCAAGTAGGCAAGGTGAAGCCCTTTTTCAATAACTC